TGATGTGTGATGAATAGCCAAGAGGAATTTTAGTGATGGCGATATTTTTCCACTTTTGAAAGCCTGTGTGGAGCAAGCACAAGAGTACTTGGGACTAAAGAAACCCAAAACAAAAGATAGAAAACCTAAACATATACCTCTGTTTTAGAGACTTGCTCTTCTTAATATTGTTTAAAGATGTTTTTAATTTTGTATGTGTATCCCCAGATATTTATTCTAGAATACATTGTGAAACATGCTTTAAACATCCTTTTGTATTTACTATAAAAATGCTCACCATGTAGTGTGCAATTGTTAAATGTACATTCGATGTATAGCATTAGTTTGAAAACAGCATTGATGGTGACGTTTAATGATGAGTGTTACTTTTACCGATATCATTTGCTAATGTGTCAAGAAGTTTGCTTATTTTTGATTTCAAAAAGTGATTGGTGTTATAACATATGTTTTGACAGTGTAACTACTGATCCCTAGTCTTGGAACTAATGGATGGAGGTGCATATCTTTTGTAGAGAAAACTATTTTAGGGGATCACTCCTCATTGTCATAAACAGTTCGGGTGTAATAGATATTGTGATCTTATTTCTCTAATCAGACATGTTGAAAGTGTCATTCTATTCTAGCTATGTGTTTCTAATATAAAACAAAACAATTATTTTTTTATTGTATTACCCAATAACTATTAAAATCTGAAAGCCAGTTATGTCCTATTTCTGAACATGGAGGTAGTTGAAGATTTGGCCTTATTAGGTATAATGTTAGTAAATTATTAGTTGCTAACAATATTTACTTCTGTTCAGAATGTAGTGACAGTTAAATCATGTTGCATCTTAGAATATTTATTACACATCATGATGTCCCTTCGTTGCAGTTAAGTTTGTGTCATTTCATTATAAATGCATGTTATTGATCTATTCCAATCGTGATAAATTTATTGGAGTTTTTTACATGTACAAAGTAGTTCCCCCTGATATTGCAAAAACTTCCTTGTTGCTGGCCAAATGTAAGAATGATTGTGATCACTCTTTTCATATATTTTTCAGACTGTAGCTGTGTGAATAAATATTTTCATTACAGCATAAAACAAAAAATAAAAATAAAAAAATTAAAAAGAATACATCTGTTTTGTGAAAGATGCATGATACTGAGTATGTAAAAGAAGAAGCCAACATTTTTTTTAAAAAAATAGTTGACAACAATGTTAGATCTGTATGTTACTTCTATGCTTTCACTAATACTGCTTGATTTTGTTTATGACAAACTTTTAAGAAAAACATAATGATTGAAACATTTGTGGCAAGGCTATAAGTATGTACTTGCACAGAAATCAGCCCTTCTTTCACGTTTAAAGTTGTACAAAATTGGCATGTTTTGTACATTTTACAGAACAGTGTTGGAAAAATTTTATTGGAAAGGAAATGAAGAAAAATATGAGACAAGAATGGAAATATGTTTGTAATTAGAAGAGATGTTTAACAAAATGGGCCAGTCAACGTATAGTGGCAAAGTGAACAACATTTTTGGAACAGCTATACAGGTGTGTTGTAAACTGTGTTCCGACAATGAATGTATTCCTTCGTCTTCAAGGAAAATATTGTTTATCGTACAGTAATATACTGAAATTGTAGCTTTATAGAACAAAACCAGTTTATATGGTGATAATAATTCTCACTTACAACTATTACAACTGCAAATATGACATTGATCCAGTGTGATTTTAGATCTTTTGTTGTTGTTTTTATGAATTACGTTTGTGGGAGATGTCGTGGAAGAAGAATAGAGATAGTAGACTACAAAAACAATTGCATGTCAATCAATTTGAAAATATTTTTTTTCCCAACTTAAGCCCAATTGTTTGAAACATCTGGTAAATACCTGGGGGGGATATCCTCTCGTGTATCATTGTGCTGTAGCTGTACCCCATGGCTTTCAAGACTGATTTTTTTATTATTAATAAAATTCTTTTTATTATCTGCATGAGGATTATGTAAGCAGGCATTTACAATCTCATATTTAAGATGTCACATATTAATGAACTAAAACAAAGCATGAGCTAATCTAAATATTAAATATACATTCAAAACATTTTGATCACCTCAGTTTTGACTTCATCAGTTGTTGAAATTTTACTAAGACACATAAATTGTTTTTTTGTAAAATATTTTAGGCAAACCTAAAATATTCATAATTATAATAATATAAATATATATGTTAGCTGAATATTTTGCCTTCTCATCAATTGATAGATCACTAGACTGAATCCCTGCATCTAAACTAATTCACATCATTTTGAAAAGAAATTCAGCAATTCAGCTAGACACACATTTATCATCCATTTTCACCAATATTCTGATGGTTTTCTCATTAAACATGAATACATCAAATTTTGAAACATGTGACGACTACAGTAGTAGTTATAACTTTAAATCTGATCATGTTTTCAGAGAAATTGGAAAGCGCTCGGAAGAAAGTGGGTCAATTTTTTTGTTGTATAGTGTGTGTCACAGAAGCATTATCATTTGAAATATGCCCTTTCTCTTTTGGGTATATTATCTATTGGAAGATAATCAGATATTTTCACTTAATCTATTATTTGTCATAATTACAAATTTGAATATTGAATATTCTCCTGTATTCAAAAGTGAGAGAACATAGTCTGAATCGTGTGGTGAATGCAAGGAGGAAGGCCATGGGAGCCATGCCCCCCCTCCATAACCAACATTGTTTTTAATTTTTCTCAATTTATTCAAAACAGTAATTGCTTATGGATTGTATCACATCTAAGGTGAAGGAATGTGCATGAATATACATTTTTTTTAAATTTCAAGCTGTCAATGATAACAATGTTTTTATTTCAAAAACATTTAGGGGAACTCAAATTGAAATTGTCTTCATCCTTCCCTTGCAATTATTTCTTGTTACACCCCCGGCTGAATGAAATAAGCATTTAATTACACAGAAATTGTATTTCGATTATATATTCACATATACATTTGATTATGTTTAATATTATGTTTTGGTTTCATAGAATTTTGCATCTTTGTAGATAAGTATATTCTAGGTAACTCACTGAGTGCACAATTTGGTTTATTCTTTCTATCTTTACTTCCTTGAGTTAATTTCAAAAGCACGATAGATTCTACTACTTAAGTTTTTTAAGTATGTATTTTATTCACTTTTAAGTGAAACACATTAAAATCAAATTATTTCAAATATTGTATTTAACACTGTTTTATCAATCTGTGGAGTTTGAGTTATTCTCTCCACATGGAAATTGATAATTTATTTTTGTTTCCTTTCTTTGGGTTACTTCTGTAATAATGTACTGAATCCTTAAGCAATCTTTCCACTTAGCTACTTCTTATCAATAGCTGTTAGCCTACTTGCATCTGTTGAGAATACTGAAAGGATGCAGATGGAGGGGGCTGATGAGGAAGGCTTAACTTAAGAGAGGGGAAGACGCTGGAAATCCTTTGTTACGCTACACTCAACATGCAGTGGAGGTCATGGACTAGGTCAAGCAGGACTCAACATCTGACAGCAAAGGGTTAATTTGAGAAAGCACGCTGCTGCAGCAGTATTCTCAATATTGGCCCCTTTTGACTATGATCGTAGTGCCTCAATATCTGAAAATATTTCACACATTCATAAGTAATTATTGCTCATTATAATAGTTGCTGTTGGAGTTTTTATCACCATGTAAACTAACCTATATATTGTAACATTATGTTGCACTTGGTGCTCTTGTGATTTATGTGTAAATGAGTGTATTTTCTGAAATATATAATTCAAATTTCATCAGTTTTTCTAAGTATTATTTTTCTTTTGTAGTAATTGTATCCGGAGCCGGTAAATATTTAACCATTTAATAAAACTTGAAAGCTTCCAGTGATGTCCTGGGTTCGATTCCTGGTCAAAGCAAAAATAAGAGTTGTAGCTTTCCTTTCAAATTGCCCTAGTTTTTGTAGTTGTGTAGCAAAGTTCAGGCACATTGATCTTGCTAGTTACGGTGAAGGGAATTCATCATATTTGCCACATGTTGCTCTTACCTCCCAAGCAAGGCAGATACCCTTAGCCGGCAGCCAAAGTCGGACTGTTGACCCAAAATGCTAAATACACACATGTATAATATATATACTACACAATTTGTCTGGCAGTATTGTGGGGGAATCGGCAGTCATGTGATCCGGACCAACCAACCGCTCGACAAATCTTTGTGTTGGACAACTTGCCTCCGCACGATACAATATGTCAAATTGATGTGCCGGTCGGCTGGACAAATTAGTGTGTGTGTAGGGGCCTTTATCATTTTAGGTTCAATGAGTAGTAGCCTCAATACGTAGAGCGCGAATTTGTCAAACCAAAGATTTCGTTGGAGCATTATAAACAAAAGTTGGTAATAGTTCTTATGTAAATACTATTTTGCTGTGTTATAATTGAATCACCATATACGTAACATTAGGTTCATCTTTAGTAATAGCTATTACTGTACTATTCCCAGTATAAAACACAGCTTCGGTGAATTTACAAATTGTATGAATTCGTTAATTCACTGTTAAATTTGAATTAAATCTGCATAAGTAAATTGTTTCATAATTTAATTTAATTGTACTTTTTTAATTACTACTTAATCCCCCCTTGCCCCCTTGTTTGGCCTGGAATCTTTAATTCCTATTTTCAGTATTCCAAAATCGTGCCAACACAGTGTGCGATGCCGTTCTATTAGTTATGGTCATGTGGACAAGATGGCAATCACATCGCGCCGTGGTCACATTTGTGTGATCCAGTACCCGCTCGTCGCTTTGTGCAATCCTCCTCGACCCCGCCCCGTTCGAGCCACATTGTCGCGGTACGACAAACCCGCTTTTTAGATATCGATCATTCTGCCCCGTTCAAACTCGCTCAATGTTGATATTGCGCCATTGGGCGTC